CCGGCAGATGTTCAGTTCAGATGTGACTTCGGTCACTACGTGGCTTCGGTCACGAGTTCAGTTATCAGTTACGTGACTTCGGTCGCGAGTACGTGACTTCGGTCGCGAGTCAGACCGGTATCAGTTCAGTTCAGATATATATGCTTAGTTCATGATATTGTTATTATTTGCGATGTTTTACATTAGTATGAGTTTCCACGGAGCACAGTGCCTAGTGCTCACGCCCCAGTTATATCTTACTTTTCAGGTCAGCAGGTCGGGCCGGCGGTGTGACATGACGGGTGCAGCTCGGGACATTCAGGACATTTGTTTATATGTTTTTGGACTGTAATACTAATATTTACGCTTCCGCTTACATTTTGACTATCTTTTGACGATGCTTGATGATTTTGACGCTCTATCATATTTTGATAAACTTTTCAGAAGATAAGTTTTTAAATAACCGGACGTTTTAATAAGTTAAAGCAACGGTTTTTCTAAAGTTAAGTAAAGAATTTTCACGGTAGCACCCCAAATCAGTATTCGCAAAGTAACAATGTTTAGTTTTTCAAAGACTTTGCGAATAAATGCGCTACTCTGATCTATCTAGTAAGGTGGGGTGTTACAATTGAGAGTCGAAGATTTAGGTTTTTTGCACCCTTGTCAATTTAGGTTGTTGAGAATGAATATGTTGATTTAGATTGCAGATTAATTTGGGGGAAAGATATCATAAGTTTCGTGTCTTCACTAATTAGGTCACCTAATACACAATCACTCCACATTAAAAAAATAGTCACGTCAAGTCACGTCACTTTGTTATCCATAGTGCGGGTAAAAAGGGACAAAAAATTGATGAAATTAACAAATTATTGGACTCATCTTGAAAACAGTCAATGACGGAACAAATTTTTAAACTTTAGCCAAATTATAGGACCAATTTTTAATTTTGGCCTTGAAAACAAATAACTGATGTTTGAATGTGTTTAACAAATGCTCTTATAGTTTTATATATTTGAGAATAAGAAGCCCCAAAAATTATATACTATATATTTATATAAAAAAAATTCTATAGAGCCATAAGTTGGTTTTCTTATGGAGTCATATCACTTAATGTGTTGACACTTGTCCAATTTGTATTTATTGTAGGACACGTCTCAATATACTATTAGTGAATAAGTATGGATGACTCCAGAAATCGAGTCATTCGATGGCTCCATAGCTTAACTGTATTTATATAACAATAGTTTTTATGTGTATATAGATTCTAATTTAAAATTTTAAAAATTTTCTCTCAATTCAAGTGGGGGAAGAGAACAACATAACAAAAATCCATTAAGTTACATAATTTCTCAGCAACAACAAGAAGTAGAAAGATATAACATATCTTCTTTCTTAATCTTCATTTTTTTTTCTTTGTAATAATGAGTAGTAGCAGAAGGACCATCACAAGAGCAAGAACTCAACAACACATAATAATAACTCATTCCCAAGCCAATTTTTCAATGTTGCTTACAAATATAAAATTGGCTTGTATCTCGCCAGAATTTCCTTATCATGCTTATCATGTTTTTTCCTTATTTTGCAGCCCCGGGTCACCGGTTCAACCGCCGGGTCACCGGGTCAATTGCTGAACCGGATAATTAATTTTAAAATTTATAAAATTATATATAGAGTATTTTGTGATATATAAATATACATAAAAATAACAAATTTAAATATTTTGTATGTAAAATTTGTAGATTGAAGTGGTAATAATATGTATATATTTATTATATAAATATATATACATAATTTTATTTTTTTAAAAAGAAAAAGAAAATTTAAAAACAAAAAAAAAAATAAAAAAATACATATAGACCGGGTCAACCGGGTTGACCCAGCCGGGTCATTGTCCCGGGTCGACCGGGTCAAGGCCGGGTCGACCGGGTTTTGACCGGGTTCGTTGTTGCCCGGTCTAATTAACCCACCCGGACCGGTTCCGGCTCCGGGTCGACCGGGTCCCGGGTCGACCCGCCGGGCCGGTCCGGGTCACAAAACACTGTATGATATCTTTCCCCCAAATTAATCTGCAATCTAAATCGACATATTCATTCTCAACTGTTAACAACCTAAATTGACAAGGGTGCAAAAAACCTAAATCTTCGACTCTCCATTTCCCGACATTCCACAGAATATATTTTTTTTTCTAACTGACAATATTGAAATTATAAATTCACATGAAGCCGTCACAACACTCCACGTCAGATAAGAAAAAAAAAAAAGCCATGTCACGTCATGACTCAGGGTGCGAAAAAAATGGTGAAATTGACAAATTATTAAACCGAATTTAAAAATAATTAATGACATAGAATTTTTAAACTTTTACCAAATTATAAGATAAATTTTAAATTTTGGCCAATAGAATGATGTAAGAGCTATTACCGTTAATCCAAACATCAGCCCTCCACATATCAGTTTCCCATCAATTCCAAAA